GATTCAAAGGCTGCACCGTTACGCAGTTGGTCGGGAACGGGCTTGGATTGCAGTTGGAATTCCCTAAAGATTGCGCGTTTTAAAAAGCGGCAGGCTTTCCTTCCTGCCTCCTCAGCGCTGCGTCCCCATTCCCAGGCAGCTGGAAAGAGCGAAGGAAAAGAGAGACCCGCAGGGCAAAGGGAACAGGAGCTCAGTGTCAAAGGCGCACGGAGGGCGCTGGAAACCCAAGCCCAGATGGTTTGCATTTCCCTCCGGCCCCGCTCCAGCTTAGCAGCGGTCGCAGAGCCCGGCGCTCGCAGGCACGGCTCAGAGCTGCGGCCCCAGGTGCCCCCCGGACCCACACAGCCCCGCACAGTGACCCCCATAGAGAGACAGAGTCACCAATCCCGGCATTTACCGCGCCTCTATTCACAGCTCCTTATCTTCCCCCGCAAACATTTCTGCACACACAGCGTTTGTTTGCAAGAAAGCCCATTATAAAAGGAAGCGCCACAAACCTCCGTGCAGGGGGTGGGTGTCGGATATGCAGCCCCCGGGCTGGAATTAGGCTGCTTCTGTGCACTTCAGAAATGAAACACCAAATAGCGATTTCTGAGAGCATTTCAGAACAAGCAGTGGCAGCAGGACCGGGACACGCAGCCCCTCTCTGCGCGTCGGGAGCTCCGCACGGCCCCGGGCCCCGGCAGCCCCACGTGCCGGTGGCGGTCCGCCCCCCCAGCGCCGTTTATAGCAGACCCAGCAGGTGCTGCGGGCGGCTGAGCTCCCGCCGTGTGTCAGCCGGGGCCGGCGGGGCGCCTGTGGGGGCACACGGCTGGGTGCTGTGACCCCAAGCCGCCCTGGCCTCAGCGCAGACAGCCGCTCGCTTCTTCCTCGCCCCGTGATGAACACAACGCCGGTGGGTGGAGGGAGGGCTCCCGGTGAGCGCTCTGGGCTCCACTGTTTGGTTTCTGCTCGTTTGTCATTTTGTCAATCTGACCCTCCAAAATAAATAAATAAATAAATAAAAAGGGAAAAATGAAGTGTTCTGTGACAGCCACACAGCAGGGTGACCCACAGAAGCGCTCCATCGGGGCTGCGCACAGCCAACCTCACCTCTGCTGTTGGGAAGTCCTTTCCCCACTTCCTCCACACAGAAAAAGCAGCACAAGCACAATGCTGCCTGCCTCCTTCCCAGGGCCTGGCAGACAAACCGCAGGGGCTGCTGCATATTTGTGCAGCTCCTTTTGATCCAGTCATCCCCAAAACATGCAAGCAATGTTCAGTCTGGGACCCTTCTGCATCGCAGTGAGGCATCATCCTTGGTCAGCGTGGGCCGAAAGCACCAGATCCACTGCGCAGTGCCTGAGAGTGGCACCAATGATTTCCAAAGCAGAGCAGTGCTGGCACATGGGCTGCAGCAGCACTTCCACCTCTTCCCAACGTTTCTCACGTGCCTGTTCCATAGGCAACCTCTTATGTTGATAAAAGCAAATGCAATTTCTATTATTACCCTACGGGCCTCTATCACTTTATGCCATACAGAAGCAGTCTTATGCCAGGGGCTGTTCACATCCCATCAGTGAGCAGTTATTGTCACTGCTTTGCTCAGGAACCCTCTGGCAATGCTCTAAAGAGGTGCGGGCTGGCAGCTCCCAGCAGAGCTTAATGGCAGCAGGAGCTCCTGTTGCTGCTCACGGGGCATCAGGAGGTGGGAGTGGGATGTGAGCAGCTGGGAAGTCATTGCCACGCAGTGATTTTCCACTTTCTGCTACATGCAGGCAGAGTTCAGGAGGAGAGCAGCCACTCACAGAGCAGGCATTTGCCCTGTTGGCATAGTGGGAAGAGTAGCTCTTTTATTTTAATGATGCTGAATTGACAGGCAAGTGGCGGAGGGCTGCAGAGGCCGTGCCAGAAGGGGACATGGTGCTGCCCACAGCATCTCCTGCTGCACAGCAGTGCTTGCACCCTCCTGCAGCAGCTTCACCCCCGTGCTGAGCCCTGCTGCTTCTGGGGCAAAGTGCTGAGGATGGGACGGCCCCGAACCAAGAGCCCAACTGTGCAATGATGAGCAATGCAGAACAGTATGGGAGCCATTATATATGTGAGCACATCCAGCCCAGCTTATAAATGACATCCAACACAGCAGCTCTGCCACAGACACGCACAAATAAAAGCACCATTGGGTGACGGTGAGTGTGATGAAGGCGAGTTATTTTCAACAGGGCGGCTGCTGCTCCTGCTTTAAGGAACACTGGGCGAGTTATTAATACAGCACAGGGGCACGTGCTGTGACCAGAATGAAAGGGAATGCCCTTCCCTGCAGCTCAGGTTCCATAGCTGGCTGTCCCCAGCCTGCAGCACCGCCACAGCCAGCAGGGCAAAGCACCAGCCCTGCGCCAGGCTGAGCACAGAGCACCACCCTGCTGCTCTCAGGATCCCCAGAGCTGCCTGGGGTCTGTGTGTTTCCAGCAAAGGAGACACCTGTGAGTGCTGAATACCTCGGCTGATGCTTACAACACTCGGTTCAGTATATACACCAAAGCGAAATAAACATTTAGAGGACCGATTGACACAGAGTTGCAAAGCTCCTACATCTGCTGAATTGGAGATGACACTACACTGCTGGAAGACCTCTCAGTGGTGTTGGTGTGTCAGTGCATAATCCGGCCCATTCTCCTGCCTCATTTCATCAGAAACAGAGCAGCAATTGGCCAGGAACCATCCAGACTGCAGCAGGTCCCGGCAGGAGAAGGGCCCACAGTGCACACAGGCAGCATCTGTACGTGGAAAAAGCAGCATCAGCAGAACACTGACCAGCAGGTTCCACTTCCTCACAGGAATCACAGAATGGCTTGGGTTGGAAGGGACTTCAAGGATCACAAGCTCCAACCCCCCCCCCGCTGCAGGCAGGAATGTCACTGTGCTGCTGTGACATTAACCTTCCTGAAGCAGAGCAGTGCCCACCCGGCCTGAGGTGCTGCTGGGGTGGTGATTAGCAGCAGCATGCTGAGAGCACGTACAGCAAACACACAGCAGCAGCCACAGCCCGCACTGCTCACAGCCAGGCTGCACCACCTGCGCTCTGTGCTCTGCCTACAGCCTCCAGCACCAAAAGCAACCCAGCAGCTAACTGGGAACACAGCAGGAACAGGGACACGTTTGTCTTTGGGGCCCTCCTGGCTCCACGCCACACAGTAAGTGAGCTTTGCCTCACCCACGTGTAGCACATGGCCACGGTGGCAGCTGCTTGCTGAGCGGAGCCATGCTGTACTTCTGGCCCAGTTTGGGTTCATGCAGACAGCTGAGAAACGCCTGCCAGGTGCAGCATTCCTCCCAGCACTGTGAGATGGCCTTCCACATTCAGCCCTTCCACATTCAGCCCCATGCAATGGGTTCACAACACAGCGACTGTGGGCCCTGGAGGCTCCCACGACGTGAGGACCATGGTACCCATGGCTGTGCCCATGCACAGCACGGCTGTACCCCACTGCGAGCCAAGGGCTGGGTGCTGTGCTGGGGGAATGCTACTGTGCTTCTCCCCAGGCCCTTTTTGAGCCACTGATGGCACGGACAGGGCAGGCACTGATCACACTGGGGCAGCGAGCAGCCAGGTGTGCCCAGCAGCACAGAGGGGCATTCGCAGAGCTGAGAGCAGCCAAGCACTGCCACAATTTTTGGGGACACCACAAAAACCCAATGGAAGCTTCAGACAAACACTCACGCACAAAACATCGTTATGAACAGCACATTCCTTCCCTCCCTCAGCCCGCATGGCTGCAGGAATGCGCTGCCCTCAGACCCACGCTGCCACCGAGCTGGGCTGGGGCACTGCCCTCTGCTGCAGCATGGAGGCCCGGGGGAGAATAGGGGAGGAAGAGAATGTGCAAAGAGCTGCACCTTTTTCCCACCCGACTGCAGCCTCAGAGCCCTGCCAAGGCAGGTGCCCCAACCCACAGGGCGCAGCGCAGCCTTGTCCAGAGCAGCCTCTGCTACGGGGATGCTGGAGTGCTGATGAAGTGGCAGCAGCCACAGCCCGGCTGCATTCGTTTCCCTGAACGAGGACTGTTACAAGGAGAGGGAGATTATAAATAAGTGCATGGCATGAATTCTGAGACAGCAATCCAACGTGCCAGAATAAGACGCAGAAAGAACCGAGAGCACCGCGCACGGGAAACCATCGGTTCCCTTCGAACTCCCTCTCCCGGCAGAGCCCACGCGCTCAGTGCGGACCCCTCCTGGCGCAGCGCGACAGCAGCAGCGCTCCTCGTGCAGGGAGGGAAGGGCAGCACAGCAGCAGGGAAGGGACCCCGCACCTCCGGGCCGCAAAGGAAACGCGATGCGCTGCCACCAGCTGCGAGCGACTCTGCAGCCAAAACACCGGGAGCACGAGGAGCACAACTCACACCGCCCCACGCGGGCCATGGAGCCGCAGACACAGCCGTGCCCAAGCGCGGGGCTGCACCGAGGATGGCACAGAACCTCCCCCCTGCAGCCCAAGGACTGCCGCACCGGTCCCCATTTCGGGCTGCGGGGACATCACTTGTCTGCATCCGAAACGCTTCGCTTGAGCTGCGGCGCCTCTCCACGCTTTGCCCTGGGAACCACCTGCTGGCACGGGGCGAGCTGCTTCCACACAAGCAGTGGCTGAAGAGCATAGAGAAGAACAAATTACTGCTGTGGCTTCTTAGTTTAGTGCAGTCACACAGGACAGGTACCCCCAGTCAATTACCAGTCCTGCTCGCTGCACTGGCGCTCAGTGCTTGCACTTTGCCCTCCCAAGCAGCTGTGCTCACAAGGGCCAAGGTCCTCAGAGGATTGTCTTCCTTAAGATGAAGGGCCAGCCCCCCTCAGCAGAACTTCTCCAGAAGTGATTACAACATTGTAGCAGGCAAATTGTTTATGAGCCCTCGCTCAGCAGAAAGCTGAGAAGCAAAGCCAGCTCAGTGTGACAGCGAGCTGGAGCAGCCAGGCCTCCTGGCTGAGAGCACCCCCCCTTCAGCTGAAATAATGACTGAAAAACACCAAACTTGAGCTATCATTTATTCAACTGGAGACATGAAGCTCAGGAAGCTCTAGCTCCCTGCCTGCCTGCCAGCTGCAGCTCTACAGCAACTCTTCAGCACTGCTCACCCTGCTTTCACGGCCCCAGGTGATGGTTTCCACACTGAAGGACTAAAAGTTACAGAGCAAACCTCCACCCCATCACCAGTCTCTCTGCTCGTTCTTTCAGGTTTACAACGCTTCTGAAGTCTGCAGTGATCAGCTGAAAAGTAAATCTAGTTAACATGAAAATAACTGCCTTGGCTAAGCCAAGAGCCCCATGCTACAGAACAAGCCACCGCCAGACTTCTACCTAAGTCAAAAACAAATAAAGAAGAAGCTGGGATTTTGTTTAATTCCTCTCTAAATAATTTCCCTTCTTTTCAAAAAGAACCCTGCTTTTCTTTCTGACATAACACCACATCAATTCACAAGGCTGGACACTAAATACCACAGAGACAGAATTCCAAGGATTTCTCAAAAGCACAGTTAAATTCTTGTGCTGAAATGGGAGTTTTTCCTCAAAGAATGCAATTTGAGTAGCTTTAGTGCCTTTCTCCTTCTCTTGAATACTCCTTTTCAACTTCGGAAAGCTCAACCAACGTTTCAATGAAAGGAAAGCAGCACCCTTTAAAGAAAAAAAATCACATCCCTTAACAGCAATAATTTAATGGACGTTTAAAAGAATGCCCATCCTCATTTGACACCCAAGTATACGAAACACCACAGCTCCTCCTGCAGCACAGCTGCTCTCAGCCCCAGGCGCCCACTGCCGCCTGCTCTGCAACAGCCCAGAGCTCCCACCCGTACCTGATTTCTTCCTTTCCTCTTCTCTACCCTCTCAAAGTGCAACATCACACTGCTCAGCACGTTCAACAATTCCACCCCAATTACCAAGTATTTGCAGTGCTTGTAGCAGAAAAGGGCAGTCTTCTCCATAAATACAAATTAGGTGTATTTACACTTTAACAGGACCCGCTTACATCAGCTCTGGGTCCACCTGCATTGGTACAGAAGAAAGAAAATCCAAAGCCCATTTTCAGACAAAAAAAAAAAAAAAAGACATTTTCACAGCAGCTCTTCCATCCCCAGAGCTCCCCCTCGGCCTGCTTACGGAGAACAGCAGGCAACACCAAGAACTTCTGTACAATCTTCAGCAACAACGTGCCCGCCCTCAGCCAAGCCCTAAGCTGAACTATAAATGACAGACGTTTGCACAGGGCTCTCCAGGCAGCAGACGTCCTACTGGAGAAGAAAACTCCCCCCCTCCTTTTATAAAAAGTGTTGAGAAAGAAAAATATAGAAAAGTTTCTCACATTTCATTCTAGGTACAAAGGAACAATACGCAGATCTGCTTGCATTTATGTGGAAACACCAACCATGTAAACAAATGAATGTCACGTACAAGCAACCTGGATCAGAATTTGTGTCCTACTTCGTAACAGCCACCACCTTCTCTAGATTTATTTTCCTTCCTCCAGCCAACCCACTCTAAAACTTTCAGACCCACACCTGGTTTGCTGTCTTACCATCAAAACACTTCAACTCTCAACATCTCAATCATCTTTCAGAGATACATTCTGTACTCCCAGACGCTTCTGCTTCCACCTCTAATGGATACACAGAGTACCAGACAGGGCCCTGCTGCAAAGCAGCCTTCACTGTTTTCCCAGGACTTCTTAATCTCGAGGAACACAAGAAGATTGATAATTATCTACTTAAGCCCCCCCTCACTGTGTGGATTAGTCAGCATTGCCACAGAGTTGGAAACATTTGGCTAAAACACACTTCTTGGTGCTGAAGAGGGTAGATAATAGAGAACGTTAACAGGAGCAAAGGCGGTCAGTCCCCTTCTGCCCAGCTCTAGTTAACAGCAAACTGGACCCGACTTATTTTTTGCTGAGATCTGATTTCAAAGTGAAAGCTTGCAGTCTTGTGATGCATTTTATATACATTTCTCCGCTCTGTAAGTGAACGAAAAAGGACAGTAGTCAAACAAATTCCTCCTTACCCACCCAACACATAACAGTAATGTAAGGCATGTTGCCCTGAGCAAGAATCCAAGCGTGAGCAAGAACCCTGCCAGGCAGTGCGATCCTGTAACTTCACCATCAGGCTCCTGAAGTCCCAAGACCTCTCCCTCTGTTCCTCAGGCAGAATATCCCCTGTCACAGTGTGCATTTCTTATTCAACACAACTAAAGAGCAGGGCTAATTAAACAAAAAAAACTCAGTAGCCGGACTTCCATCTCTCTCAAGAACACGCGACCAGTCTTGCAGTTCTTGGCTTTATCCCACAAGCAGCCTCGTTAGACCACCTCCATAGATAAATTAACAAGAGACAAAGCCGACATCAACTGCAGCGTCCGTGCAAGACTTCAGGCTGTGTCACACAGTCTCCTCTGACCGGACGTCACTGGGGTGTGAAGGTGAGAATCATCCAGCTGATGACGAAGTAGAAGAGGAAGATGGGGTACACGGCCAGCGCCTTGCGGTGCGGAGGTTGGCTGTCAGCCAGGAAGGCTGTGGATGCTGGGGCAGAGGGAAAGAAAAACAACTGAAACAGCACAGAACTGAAACATCAACACTGCAGCTGTTAAGCTTGGAGAGCTTGATGAGGATGAAGTGGAAGGACAGCAAACAAAGCAAAGCGTAGCTCAGTAACAATGGCCTCCGACTGCAAATCAAAGCTCTATCACGTAGAAGAACAGGTGCTGATCAGCATTCTGTATGAGATTCAGCCTAACAGATTAAGAACAAGGGAAATAATTCAAACACCTGTATGAGATGAATGTTCTTTAACAGCTCTTTATAACAGAAATGATGGAATGAAACACGTAGCACTTCACACAAAGTTCAGTATTAGTTACTGTCCTCCCTCCAACGGCAGTTTGTATATGAAAATCAACAGGAGTGCAGTCAAAGGCTGAATCTCTGCCAACACAAGGATTGGAAGAACTATTTCTGCAGTACTGCAGCAGCCTAGGAAACACCTGAAACTACAGAAAACCTTTGGCTTCATTCCGCAGAATGCAAACAGAGCCACTCCTTTAAGATCACACCACTCAGCACACAGCAGTGCTGGCACTCACAGGAACTTACCTAACGTGGACCAGGCAAACATAGCAATCACTACAATCAGGCGTATGATGAAGCTGACAGTGCCAGAGCCTGCCAGCAGCACCAGCCTGCACACCAGCATCGCCACCGTCAGCGGCAGGACGCAGTAACCCAGAACACACAGGCTCTGAAAAAAAGATCTACAAAGGAGGGAGGGAAACAGTTAGACCACAGCACCCCTTCAGACTTCATACCTGAAGCACTGCAACTGTTGCTACAAGACAGCACTCACATAGTTCCTCCCAGGAGCTTTGAGTTTAGTGTGATGACAACGGCACCAAACCAGATGATCACAAAGACCTCAGCAAACTGGGGCCCTCCGTCCTCCTTGCTGTCTGCTGATCCCCCCTGCAGCATCCTGTTGTAGACAACAGATACAAGGAGTCAACTGCAATTGATGACTGAGCTTTTGCAAACCTAGAACAGATGACAATAGGAAACTGGAGATGTTGATTCCTAGTAAGACTGTAGACCCATTATTTTTATTTTTGGTATCCTCAATTTTGCACAGGAAAAGAAAATGATTGCTGCCCAACTGAAGGCACTTCAGCCATTCCTGTACTTGTTTTCAGGACCGTGTAAGCACACCAGAGAAAATCACAGATAAAAGCCAAGAAAACGAACACGAGAAGTTTGGCAGCCTCTCAAAACAGGCAGACCACTGCTTGAGAAAAGAGTTATGCCTTAAGGAAAGCTCTCAGCAAGAACAGGATGCAAGCAATGCAACACAGCGCCTGGAAAAGTCAGCACACACAGACCTGAAGGTTCAATTCACATGGTACATTTCTGATAAAGGGTTTTACTAAATGCCCTCTGGATGCTGAGCTCTGCGGGTCTTTACCCAGGTGACACATGTCAAAGGATCTACCTTACCATAGACACGTGCAATTTAATGGAGCACCAAAACACTCCTGAGAGCCACAGCCACCTCCCAGTGACAAGTTATTACAACAGCCCTCATTTCCATCAGTTCTCTCCACAGGACACACAGCACACACACGACTGCTCTTAAACACAAGCTGTGACCTGCAGATTAGGGTCAAAGCAGTCAGCCAGATGCATTAAAATCAAGAATAATGCGAATCAGGATCTTCTCAGCAAGATCCTTCCATGACAGGGAGCTCTTAAGGGGCTACAAATGTCAAAAAGGTGCAAGTCTAAATCAGCAGTGTTTGTAGAAGACTGGAGGAGCAAAGAGCATGATCTGATACGCGGAAAAAGAAATCCCGAGGTTCTCACACTCCCAACACTCATACTGAAACATACTAAACAATCTTCATACTAGAACAAATACAAGTAAATCCACACACTATAAGTACTTACAGAGCAAGTGAGACACAAAGCACCAAAGGCCCCCAAAGATCCCCTGGAGGTAAGGAAAAAAAAACATAAACCACAAATACGATACAATGATATTTTTACGTGAGTAATTAAGCACCCTCTGCCAATTGCTATGGCATCATTTCCATTATACCTCCTCACAATTTCACTATTTAGTATCTTCAGCCATATTCCATATGTCACTTCTGGAAAGCCTGCTTTCCACAAAAGCCAATTGTTCTACACTTCTCCCACATGTGCTACTTTACAACAGCACTGCTGACCCTCAGGTTTTTCACCTCTGCTATTCTGCACTCTATGAGAACAGAGAGAACACAGAGCACACACTTCTGAGTCCCCGTCCCACAGAACCCCCCCTTCCCACACACACACAAAGCACACATCTCACACTTACAGTCCCTGAGGAGCGCGCTGCTCTTCCTTGGATACATGACGTGAACAAATTTCTTCCCAACAGCCTTCAGATCTCTCAGCTGAAACAAAGAAGTAATTTTTATATGAAAGTTACAGACCTCAGCAGAAAGCAGAAAGACAAGACAAGAAGGCAGTATTCATAGTAACTCAGAACAGCACCCAACCAAAATATTCTGGCAGCAGACTTTGCACAAACAATGCTATGCTTTGTACGCTGCTTAAGAACACAACAGTACTGCACACTTAGGAACACCCAATAGAGAAAAATAATTTGTTTGCTCCTTGTAATGCTATAATGGGATGATAATAGCAGGGTGGCAAAGTCTTTGGCAACAGTAAGTGAGAACGAGCCCAAATGCAGCTGCAATGGATACAGAAGTGAAGGAAAAGAGCTACTTACCTTTGGCAGGGCTCAGGTAGGCAGGGATCCCCAGTGAGACACCCTCACCTCCACTGCCAACCCTTAAACGAGGGCTGGGAAGAGGTGGATCCTGGCTCCATCCCTTCTATCCCTCAGCTGTGCTGCATGCACCTGAGCTCCCCTGGGCTGGCCCTGCCTTCCCGCCAGGTGCTCCATCACGGCTTCAGGCTGTGACTGAGCATTTCTGCTACACTCCTCTAAAAGAAGAAAATTAACTAAAAGTCCTATTAATTGGGATAGTCTTCTCCCAAGTTCCATATGCTTTCACGTATCCAAAGATTTTAAGATGGGAGAAACTTTGAGGCCATAATTCAACTATTTGTGACTCATGCATATTTGCACACATTTTACATAAACAATTATATGGGAAAAACAACAACAGCAACTATCCACAACTCCCCAGAACGCTTATTTATATGTACAAGCTGAGTAAAAGCATGCAAAGAAGGCAGGTTTCGTGTAGCAGTTGGCCAGAGAGCTCAGCAAAACCCATTTTATCACAGACAGGAGCAGGGAACACAAACTCACAATGGTGTCCCTGACGGGTTCATCCAGCGTGGAGAAATCTTCCTCTGGGGAATGGGACCCCACGGGAACCGTGATCTCCCCTTCCACCGGGATGTCCTCAGATATGGACACGTCTGCCAGGCCTGCAAACTGAACGGATGGGGAAACCCTCAGAGTGAAGGAAACGCGGAGCAGCTCACAGCTGGCGCTTTATCAACGGCAGCGGATGGGAGCCGCTTTATCAACGGCAGCGGGTGGGAGCCGCCGCTCGGAGCTGAGGGCAGCATCACAGCAACCCGAGGGCAGTACGCAGCGCCCCCTGAGCGAGCAGCTCACGGCCTGCCGTGACGCTCCGAAGGAGCAGCTGCACGCAAACAAAGCATTTCTGTTCTCCTCAGCATCTCCATTCCCCGCCTTTTCTTCCCCGCGCAGCCAGCGGTGACTGACGGACGCCGATCCCCGTTCAGCCGCACAGCGGGGCTCCGAGCACAGCGCACAGGGCCGCGCTCCGGCCCGGCAGAGCCCACAGCGGCCCGCACCGCACGCAGCCCGGCCCGCAGCCGCTTCAGAGCGGGACAGAAGAAGCCCCGCCGTCCGTCCGCCGTCCCGCCCGCTGTCAGCACAGCCCGCAGCTCCACGCCGCGCTCACCAGAGGCTCGGCTGCCGCCGCCGCCCCGCCGCCTTCTGCCGCCGCCATCTTGGCCGCAGAGCCGACGTGGCGCCGCGATTACGTCATCACCGCGCGCGGCGCCTCAGCGTCGCGCGCCGCCGGAGCGTCCGTGGTAACGAGGCTGTGCGCGTCGCGCCTCCCGGCCGGCAGGGGGCGCCGGTGCCACGCGCGGAGGGTCGGGGCCGGGGCGGGGGGCGGCGGCGGCACCGGGAGCGGCCGCGCAGCCCTCGGGCCCCGCAGCGGGCGGCTCCGTGC